TACCGGCCGGCTATACGCCTGGTCAGCCTGACCTTTCCACGTTGGTCTGGACGCCATGTTCCTCGTTTATGCACGGCTCGACTGGCCAACTGCTCTACCAAGGAGCCGTTTTGGCTGCCAGCCAAAATATTGTTGTCGTGTCTGTAGCAGTTCGTCTCGGTGTTCTGGGCAACTTCTACTGGCCGTCCAAGGCGCCGGGCAACCAGGCGTTGCTGGATCTTCGACTAGCTCTCGACTGGTACCGAAACAATTCGGTGCGCGCATTCGGCGCCCGAGCGGACGGAGTGACGCTGGCTGGACATTCGGCAGGAGCCGTTTTGACCAGTTTGTTTGCCAGTCAACGCGACAACCGAGACCTCTTCTCGCAGATCGCCCTTTTCAGTGGGGGACACCTCTTCTCGAGGTGGGGAACGATGACGCATCAGACAGCTTTAGCCAAGTCGGAGATGGTGAGTGGGCAACATAAGATTGATGTACAAATAAAATATGAAGTCTATTGAACCTATTTTGGGCAAAATGATGAAGGACTGGTAGTTGAATTTTCCAACAATCTAATGATCAAAGTATACGTTTCCACTGTATTTTTCAGAGCTTTGTTTTTCCAAAAGGTATTCTCACCCAGACTGTAGTGGACTGTAGTTTACATCTCTCGCTCTGCTCTCAAAAACATGACCAGATGGACTCGAACCGGGACAGTTCAACGTATGATCCTGACACATTGCCCAACATGCCACATATTGCCACCAGCGCCTTTGGCTGACAGGGTAGATGTGAATTTCAAGCAAGTCTAGACATTTTTTCATATCACATTCTGTCGTTGGAGTACTGATCAAGCAAAGTTGTATTTGCTAAAGCAATCGACTACACTACTTATTTGACGTTTATAAGTAGGTTTTAGAGTATACCAGTAGGTCATATATATATATAGGGTGTATATGCAGCCAAATTCATTTGAGGTAATTGAATTCTTCCCGCAATTATATGAATAGACGGTATATTTCCATTAAAGTCTGCATTCTTTTAAGCTCTATCCCGCTGTTTACACTGGCCTATCAGAAGGAGGATACCTCGAGAGCCATGAATTCATGGATCTGGATAGGCAGCAAAGTCCAACCACCTAATCTGTCTTGAGTCTGGTAATTCATGTGCAAGTGGAAAAATTTCTGATTATGCCTCCACAACTTTTGTGACATGAGCACAAGCATAGAAGAGGAGTCTGTGGACGCTTGAAACGCGTCATTTTAAAAGAATTTTAACTAATTCAGGCACAAAGTCTCCGGAATTCATGCACATGATTGCCTACAGATTCCATTTTTAGGATGATACAAATGGTAGAGCAGATGCTGCTCAGGCTAACGATAATGAAGATAGCTGTGATGACGGGTTTAGAGAAGCTGACTTTATAATGGGGTAGTTGATGCTACTGCTTAAAGGGATGAAAAAGATGTAATGAAAAACTGGGTTTCTATGACTACCTTAGTGATGATATATTGTGACATGGCGTTACATTTCTTCTGTATCGCCGTGGCAGACGTCATCAGAGCACGAATTCATACTTCACGAAATTGAGCAAAATAATGCTAAATCACAAGAAAAAGTATCCGGCTACAACCCTAGTCGCTGCTTTATACACCCAACTTTGCCATCGAATTGAGGCATCACACGATTTGGTTGGCTACCTCAAACTTATTCTACATGCTTAAAGGTGAGTGAATCTACTTAACGAACCGGAAGTGCGTTCGGTGGAAGCTGTTTCCATGCCCAAAAAAGCTAGTGTGAATCATGTTTTGAATCATGTTTGGACTTGTGCTATTGTCTATTGTGCGCATGTGATGTTCCCGTTATGAGAAGTGTGGTAATCATAGCTAGACTCAAGGCTAACCC